AGATCCGACCCTGTTCTAGACGCCAGGTATGACAGCAGCACCCTCTTAGCAGCTCTGTTGTTGGGCCCTCCCCTGCTGCACTTGCCCGACCGGATCCGACACTGGTTCTGATATCAGGTCTAACCTCCGCACCCTCCTGGCAACTGTATGTCTTGCCCCCCCCGCCGTCAAATTTTCCGACCAGCTCCGATCCTGCTCTAGCCGCCAAGTCTGGCCTCCGCACCTTACTAGCAGCTCTGTTCTCGTGCCCCCCCCGTGCCATTTCCCGAATGGACCCGACGCTTTTCGAGCCGCCAGGCCTGGACTCCGCGCCCTCCTGGCAGCTCTGTCCTTGGGCCCACAATCTACCATGTAATTTCCAGACTGGAACTAACCCTGTTCTGGCCACCTGGTCTCACCCCCGCGCCCTCCTGGCAGCTTCGTTGTTCGGCCCCTTTGCCCCGTCCCTGCCTGGTCTAGCCGCCAGGTCTGACCTCCGCGCCCTCTTCGCATCTCTGCTCCGACCCCCCCCCCCACCTTCCAATTTCCGGCCAAACCCGACCCTGTTCTGGACACCAGGTCTGGCCTTAGCACCCTCCTGGCAGCTCTGTTATTGGGGCCCCCTACCTGTCAAGGTTCCGACTGGATCCGACCATGTTCTAACCGCCAGGTCTGACCTTCGCGCCCTCCTGGTAGCTCTGGTCTTGAACCCCCCCACCCTGCCATTTTCCGACCGGCTCCGGCCATTTTCTAGCCGCCAGGTCTGACCCACGTTCCCTCCTGGCAGCTCTCCTCTAGGAGCCCCCCCCCCCTGCCAGATCCGACCCTGTTCTAGCCACCACGTCTGGCCTCCACAACCCCCCGTCTGAACTGTTCTCAGAGCCCCAACAATGCGGCGGGGGTGATTGGATAAGGAACCGTTGGGTAAGGGATCCGGGGTCTGGAAGCTGGTCGAAGTCCAATCGTGGATCGACCATGGATATCGCCGCCGCCCTCATCAGACAAGGAATCCTCCAGGGTCAGCAGCCTCCTGGGCACATTCCTTCACGAATGCCCCCACCGTGCAGTGCCCGACCGGATCCGACCCTGTTCTTGCCATCGAGTCTGACCGCCGCACCCTCCTGGCAGGGTCTTCAGGTCTTCGAGCCTTCGGGTCTCAGGGCTGTCGGGTCTTCGAGTCTTCGGGTGTTCGGGTTCTCGGGCGTTCGGGCGTTCGGGTCCTCGGGTCATAGGGTCTGAGCGTCTTTGCGTCGGAGGGTCTGAAGGCCCCAGGGCCCCAGGGTCTTAAGGCCTTTGTAGGGCCTTGGGGCATTGGGGTCCTTGTGCCTTCGGGCCACAGGGTCTTCGGGTCTTTAGGCCTACGGTCTTAAGAGTCTTAGGGTCTTGGGACCTTCGGGTCTTCGGTTCTCTGGTGCTTGGGATCTTGCAGTAATGGGTCATTACGGATCTTACGGGTCTTAGGGGCTTCGGATCTCAGAGTCTTAGAGTCATCGGGTCTGGGGTCTTTGGGTCTTCGGCGGGCCTCGGGGTCTCCTGGTCTTCAGGACTTTTTGTCTTCGGGCTTCGGGGTCTGAGGGCCCTAGGTCATAGTCGTCGGGTCTTGGGGCCTTCGGGTCTTAGGGTCCAAGGTTCTCCGGGTCGTCGGGCCTTTGGGTCTTAGGGTCGGCCTTAGGACTTTCGGGTCTTCGGGTCTTCGGGCCACAGGGCCTTCGGGCCTTCGGGCCCGAGGGCCTTCGCGTCTCAGGGACTTATGGACGTAGGGTCTTAGAGTGTTAGGGTAGCGGGGACTTCGGGTCCTCGGGATCTTCGGTTCCCATGGTCCTGCAATTTGTTTGGGTCTCGATGGGCCTGTGCGGGTCTTGCGGGTCCTAGGGTCTGAGGGTATCGCGGTCTTCGGGTCTAGAGGTTTTCGGGTCTTGTCTTCGGGTTTAAAGGTCTCAGAGCTTTGGGGCATTAGGGCCTTCGGGCCTCAGTGATTTGGGGTCTTGCGGTCTTGGGGTCTGGAGGTCACGGGGTCGTGGGGTCTCAGGGTCTTCGGGCGTGAGGGTCTCATGGGATTGGGGCATCAGGGTCGTAGGGCCTTGAAATCTATGGGTCTCCGGGGCTTCGGGCCTCGAGAGCTTCGGGCCTGAAGGTGTGAGGGTATTCGGGTCTGGGGGCTCTTCGGGCACTCGGGTCTTCTGGTCTCACTCGGGTTTTATTCGGGTCTTCGGGTAGTTGGGTCTTCGGGTCCCCTGGCCTTGAGGTCTTAGGGTCTAGAGGTATTTGGGTCTTAGGGTATTTGGGTCTTGGAGTCGTGGGGTCTTCGGGTCGTCGGGGCTGTCGGGTCTCCGGGTCTTTCGGGCTTCGGGGCTTCGGGGCTGAGGGCCTTAGGGTCTTCGGGTCTTCAGGCTCTCGGGTCTTCCGGCCTTCGGGTCTTCGGGCCTTCGGGCCCTCGGGTTCTCGGGCGTTCGGGTCTTCGGGCGTTTGGGCCTTCGTGTCTTCGAGTATGCGGGCCTCTCACGGTCAAAGGGTCGTCTGG